TGTTTATCTAACTTGCTTCCTTTTTGACAATTTGCGTATCTCCAGGGAAAAAATTGGGGGGGGGGGGGAGAATTCAGCTCCAGTTGTCTGTTTTTTGGTCACAGTGGGGCTTGATGGTACGGAGGAACAGTTGTACCACCTTAAAGCCACATTCAGATAAGGCGGTGAGATGCCGTAGTGACCTCAGAGTCATCACTAAATGGCAATAAAATGATGCAGACGCCCGATGTGGAGATGAAACAATCGGAGAGTGGATGCGGCGTGAAATGCAGACAGAAATTTGTGAGACTGATGTGGGATATTGGCACAACGGTGGGAAATACCAATGCAGATTGGACCCTAGTTTGCAGCTTGGAACTGGCTCTTGTTAACAGACCTCCTGCCATCAATCACTGCAGTCTGTTCCTACCTAGTGCAGGATGATGTCACAGGGAAGTTAATACCTCTAATGAGGAACTTGCTTCCCCCGCAATGAAACTCAGAAATGGAGAAAACCAGCCGGGAATGATAAAAACTAGACTACCTATTCCTGGATCATAATGGGGGGAATAGTTTTGTGCACACACATCCCTAGAAAACATGCACATGTGCATATTTCTGGTGATTCTCTCTGGCTATGTTGGAATGCAATCTACAGGCCATAACAAGGGCTCCTTAAAAGGTATAACGTGCATGTTTCCCGTACTATATAGCTGGAATTTTCAGCTAAAACTCTGACTTTACACAAGAACAAATACAAAGCTACCTTATACTGAATCAGTCCATCAATTCATCAAGGGTAGGGCTGCCTATCAGACTAGCAGGGGCTCTCCACAGTCTCTGTTAGAGGTCTTTCTCATCACCTACTGCCTAGTAAACTGGAGATGCCGGGATTGAACCCAGGACCTTCTGCTTGCAAAGCAGAGGCTCTTCCACTGAGCCATAGCCCCTTCCACTGGCCAACAAATTGCTTGTTCAGATGGAGTATTAAGTTAACTGCTCCATTAATCCACAAGACAGCAGCCTTGACTTGCTCCAGTGTAAACAGGGGATGAGTTCCTTTCCAGAACTCAGTCACCACAGCTATAAACAACAATTCCAAAGCAGCCTTCACCTCACAGAATTCTCCCGAAAAGCCCTGCGGGCACACGCAATGGAATCCATTGACCAGATCCTCACAGCGTCCTCCATTATGACACGGGTTGCTCATGCATTCATCAGCTTCCATTTCACAGTTCTTTCCAGTGAAGCCGCGGTGGCATAAGCAACGATAGCCATTCACCTCATCCTAAAAGAAAAGGAAAAGTTGAAAGATATGTCCTTATTGCAAAGAGACTCATGAAAATTTTCCCCCGATGTCAAAAAAATCTAATACCCATTTGTTTTCCTTTGGTTTTTTTTAAAGCAAGCCCACTGACAATTTGATGGTGCAAAATGCAATCAAGTCACAGCCAATTTATGGTGACCCCCATAGGGTTTTTCAAGGCAAGAGATGTTCAGAGGCTGCCTCTGCGTAGTAACCCTGGACTTCCTTGGTGGTCTCCCATCCAAATACTAACCTTGCTTAGTTTCTGAGATCTGATGATCTGGACCGAGTCACTGACAACTTCGCCTGAATTAAACTTGAGCTTACTTGTGTTGTTCTGTAGAGTCTATCAGCTGTAAAAGCCTGAGGCCTCGGTCTCATGCAGCTTTTCATCTAGACCCACGAATGTCACCTGCCTCCTTGGGGCCTTCTCCTGCCCTATTCTCCTCACTCTGAAAAGTGACTTCCTGCCTACTCTCTGCCTTTAACAAGCTGCTCTAGCTAGCTCTATGCAATGACGACTTTGCTTTTTTAATAACCTACAATAAGGAGGCATAAGAGCCTTCTGAAAGACCAAGTGCATGGCAAAAGGGAAACTGATCATACATTCAAATGTGTTACCCACACACTGTATCAGATACTTTCTCTTACGCAATCTTAAATCCACTGTTTCGAGTATAATCTATGTTTAGCTAACTGTAGCCTTTTAGCTCAAACTTCAGATCTACTGGAGGCTTTTTAAAGAAAGGCAGTTGTTTCTATAGATGCCTCCCAATCTTTTGGTATAACTGCTGATATTGCAGAAAAGATATAGAGTAGCTCACCAATTTCACATCCCCCCCCCCCAATCAAATCCTTAGGCAAATGTTAACAGAAGAAACTGCTGCTGAATCAGGTGATTCTAAAACATATTTTCAGGTTTTTTTGGGGTGGCTCAGAATTCTTCCAGTCTGACGCCTAGAAAGGCTCAAAAATGGACCTCAGGTATTGTTTTGAAAGTTTTCTCCCAAAACATTACCTATCAACGAGTGCTCTCACAGAAGAATGCAGGTCAAATATGTTACTTGAAAGCATCCAGCCCATTAAGCTGTTCTTTGGCAGCCACTTTGGTAGGTGGCGGAACTGATCTGGATTAGATCCACGTTCCCGTATGAATGCACTTGAATACTCTGGTCTTCAAGCCTGTAATATGAGGCTAGATAGGTAGGCAACCCACAAAGTATAGATTTCCCTCCTGGGAGAGAGATTCAACCCCCCCCCCCTCAGTGTCTTCCACTAATGGGTAAAGACTTTTGTGTTCTGTGTTCCATCACTGACCCTCACTTGCATCTGTTTTAATTGCTTTACATATTATATGTACTTTGAAGCTTGTTCTAATGTTCCTCACCTTGGGGACCCTGAGTTGGCTGGAAAGGTGGCTCAGAAATATTTTAATATTAAAGTAATTTTAATAATCAGAATAGGAGATAATTGCCTGTCTGCTACCCTTCCCTTACATTTGCCATCTAGTAGCCTCTTACTTTGCAGCTGTCATTCAGAGTTTTCGAAATAAAAAGTGGACATTAAATAGTCGGTCTTACCTTACAAGTCCCTCCATTTTGACACTGTCCACGACAATCATTAATATCTATGGAACAAATACGTAAGGCATTAAAAATCGCAGAAAACCCCGAAGCCATACTGAACAGAGTGAAAGCAAGGAGTGTCTTAAGTTCAACATATCAGTGATCAGTCTGATGTTTTCCAGAAGGGTTCACAATACAAGTTTGAGAGAACCGAAAACGCTACTTCTATTTCAGCTGAAATGCAAGAGAAAAGTGACCAAGTGGTAGATACATCTGAGCAATGTCTTCCAAGGCCAGATTTTAGTCATGTCCAGTTAGTTCATTCCACAAACTGAAAGCTAAGGCTTTTGATGCAAGGAAATAACTGCTAAAGGAGGCAGCATAAAATGGTGCTTTGAGAAGATTGTGATGGTTCAGAGGTTGAAAGAGGAGATAGGAATCACAGAATAACGCTCTGATTTAGTCTATGAGTAAAAAAAAAGCTCTTTTTAGGGTCAAAGGCAGATACTAAAGATTAAATACTGACTGATGTGACAATTTAGTCCTTTCCATCCTGGAATGCAGTCACAGTAATATCCACCAATAAGATTTTTGCAAGAATGAGCATTAAGACAGGGTTTCCCTTCACACTCATTAGCATCTGTGAAAGAAGAGAAAAGAAAAGCAGAGAGTGAAGAACAAACCCCAGCAATAGGCTGGCCCTTGCACCAAAGCAAAGCTTTTCCAAATATCAGCCACGCAGTTGCTCACAAGAGGAGGGACCCACTGACAACTCTGATGCAAAGCTGCTGATATTTTCAGCATGCAGCATCCTCTCCCCTTATAAGCAAGACTCAAGAATCAAAGGTTCCGGTTTGACGTAGCCCACACAGGTTATTTGAACAAGCTGGCAGTCTCTTATTTTGCTGCAGGGACAATTCAGTATTAGTTTAGAGAACTGTGAGTGGTCACTGTGGCCCTTAAGGGGGTTTAACACAGATCTACGATATATCCAACAAGGTTTAGGAATACACGTAAAAATGGTAGGAAATGCACTGTTTTTGGAGAAGGGCTATTTATTCATTTAATTTATACCCCGCCTTTCACCCCAGTGGGGACCCAAAGCGGCTTATGTCGTTCTCCTGTCCTCCATTTTATCCTCACAACAACCCTGTGAGGTAGGTTAGGCTGAGAAAGAGTGACCAGCACAAGTTCACCCAGCATGCTCCAGCGGCATGAGTGGGGATTCCAACCTGGGTCTTCCAGATACCAGTCTGACACTCTTAACCACTACACCACAATGGAGGGTGTGTGTGTGCATCTTTGCTATAGCACAGTGCACTGTAAGATAAAATAACTCATCCATGTTACAAATTTGCCTCTTGGTTGTTGCTTGCAAGCCAAAACTGTATATATGTAGCTTCACCTGTCAAGGGGTAATACACATTTATTGCTCATGTTCTGACAGATCCGTGGAACAAACATGCCACTTTTCTGGTCTAGAGAGAGTGCTTAATCATGCACTGTCCCCCATTTTGGGGGGAGGGAGTTTCAAAGGTTAGCAAAATGTAGCCCTTGGCCACTCATCTGCAGGGACTACCTAGATATTTCATGCACACACCACTGGGGGGAGAGATATATGGGTCAAGCAAGATGCAAGAACAGAGCACACCCGAGCGACCCGAGCCAAAACATACACCACAACAAGGTGTAGTGACTGAACAGCACAGAACAGCCCTTGTTAACAGGCACCCCAGAGTTAAGCACATTACTGTTACTATCATGCCAGAGGTATCATCATCCGCTGCTCAGGTACGCATCAGGGCAGGGGAGAAGGCTTCACACTGCAGAGAGGACAGAGCCTTGGAACTCGGAGGTAGTGTTGCGACTAGTTTAAATCAACTCTTGGGAGAATTCAAGTGTTGAAATTTAGCAATTAAGACATGAAATTGACCACCTACATTCATTTTACTGACGTTTCAATCATTTAAGCAAATCTAAACCCCACCCACCCCCCAAATAATCTTGTCAAGTCACCTTCAAGTGTCCAGACTTACCAAGCTGACAGGTTGACCCAATCCACTGCTGTGGACATATACATTCAAACCCATTAATGCGATCAACACAAGTTCCGCCTCTGGCGCAAGGGTTAGATGCACATTCGTCAATATCTGGGGAAGGGAAAGAGGGTCTGAGGTGACTTGAGACCATATACAGACTTTTTTTAAGGCAGAGAGGACCTAGCCACACACTTCTAGAGGGAAGATGCCATCAAACCATATGGACCATTCTGAAAGCCATTATTCCAGATTCTGATATAAGGGCATTAGGTTTCTGTCCCAAAGTATCCCCGCATCAAAAAGAGAGTGTTTGAGGTTATATGCATGCCTACTTAAAATCTCTTATGTAGAGCAACTATGCTAAGTAGACTCTTGCAATACAAGAACAATACAAGAACTCGTGGGCACTCAATGAAATTGCTGAGCGGTCGGGTTAGAACGGATAAAAGGAAGTACTTCTTCACCCAAAGAGTGATTAACACATGGAATTCACTGCCACAGGAAGTGGTGGCAGCTACAAGCATGGACGGCTTCAAAAGGGATTAGATAAGCATATGGAGCAGAGGTCCATCAGTGGCTGTTAGCCACAAGGTATAGATAGGGGCTCTGGGGCAAGTGATGCTCTGTCTTTTTGGTGCTTGGTGGGGTCAACAGTGGGAGGGCTTCTAATGTCCTGGCCCCACTGATGGATCTCCTGATGGCACCTGGTATTTTTGGCCACTGTGTGACACAGAGTGTTGGACTGGATGGGCCTTGGCCTGATCCAACATTGGCGTCTCTTATGTTCTTATGCAGTAAACATTCTGGCTATGGGTTTACGGAGGAGAAGTTGCAGGAATAATCCTGTGACATTTAAAGTCATGTAATGTAGAAAGCATGGAGCTGCGGTGGCTCAAGTGGTTAAGACACTGAACTGCAGGCTGTGGAAGGTCAGTAGTTCAGCAGTTCGAGACCCGAGTGTGCCGCAAGATGGAGTGAGCTCCCGTCTCTAGTTCCAGCTCCTGCCAACCTAGCAGTTCAAAAGCAAGACATTGCAAGTAGATAAATAGGTACCACTTCAGTGGGAAGGTAACAGCGTTCTGTGCGCCTTGGTGTTTAGTCATGCCGGCTACATGACCACGGAAACGTCTTCGGACAGCGCTGGCTCTTCGGCTTTGAAATGGAGATGAGCACCGCAACCCTGGCTTTCGAGCAAGGGAACCTTTACCTTAATGTAGAAAGCAGCCTTCAAAATGCAGGCAACTCCAGACCTCATTCAGTAACCGCTCAGCCAAGTGTGAAGACATCTTCCAAATCAAGCTTCAGTATTACCTACACTCCCTTCCTTCCTTTGTAGTAGTAGCTCTTACGTGATGTTACAAAACGTTTAGAAATCCCAGCTGAGACAAGAGCCTGGGAGAACACAGCAGCACGGCATAAGCCGTTTAACCAAGGAGCAGAAGCGCATAATGCAATTTCACATGCGCCTGTTAGGAGTAAACAAGTTCAGCTGCTCCTATTAAACCAGTTAGTGCCTAATTTACGTAGCTGGTAAATTCCAAAAGGACGACTGCAGCTCTGGCTTGATTAAGGAACACAATGTTGCCTGGTTCAAAATTAAGAACTTTGCATACCTGTCGTTGTTGTTTTTTTTTTTAAACTAGCCCACTGGGGAAGAAACATTTTTGAGCAGGGCTGGAGTCACAAGACTTACTAGATAAAACTAGGTGAAAGGAAAAGGACTTAGCAATAAGTCTTCATAATATACTCTGAGGCCCTGACCTGGATAGCCCAGGTTAGCCTGATCTCATCAGACCTCAGAAGCTTAAGCAGGGTCGGCCCTGGTCAGTATTTGGATGGGAGGCCACCAAGGAAGACCAGGGTCACTATGCAGAGGCAGGCAATGGCGAACCACCTCTAAATTGCTCTTGCCTTGAAAACCATGTCAGCTGTGACTTGACAGGCAAAATACAATACTTTGACAGCAAAACCACTTGTCAAGTAATACAGGTTAAGGCTCTCAGGAGAGAGAGCGTAGGTGGGTATACTGCCACCCTTAAAACTCTACCGCCTAGAGCAATCTTGTAGCAAAGCTTTTCTCACCACATACATGTGACTTACGTGGAAAAGGCAAGACCACTGCTTTTTGCCATAATTTTCTAGTTAGCACTTGTGACCTATGCTCCCTCTAAGCTGTGGAGTCTTGTGAGCAAAAATTCTACTTTGTGAGCTACTGGCATTAAAGTTGTGAGCGAGCGATTTGGCTACTGCATGAATTAGTTTGCTCTGGAGCCATCCTTCCTGAGCTGAGACAGAAATGTGTGAGCCAGAGGCTAAAAACCTGTGAGCTAGCTCACACTAACTCAGCTTAGAGGGAATACTGCTTGTGACTACGCTTAGGATCAAATGACACAGTACTTCTTTTGGCAAGGTGGGTTGGAGTTCCCCGCTTTCCCCACAGCCTCACAGCAGCTACAGGGAATGTCATTTTAAAAAACAGTAGGAGCCGGATCCAGCTTGTAAATGAGGCGTGGAACTGCCTTCCGCTCCTTGCCATTTCCCCTAGCTAAAGCATCCCTAGCCAGAAGTTATTTGCATAAAATTGGAGCTGTATGAGGAGTATTTGTTTTTAAAACACAGCTGCTATGTGGCTGCAGAGAACGGAAGTCGAGTCCACGGAACTCCAACCCAACTTGCCAAAAAAGTAATGCGTAGACCGACCTTTAGATATAATCTCAAATTACTATTATCTACAAAATACAAAAAAGATTGAAGGTCAAAGAAGACGGGGACGGCAAAGGATGAGATGGTTAGACAGTGTCATAGATGCAACGAACATGAAATTGAGCAAACTTCAGAGGATGGCGGAAGACAGGGGGGCCTGGTGGGAGCTGGTCCATGGGGTCGCGAAGAGTCGGACTCGAGTGTACGACTGAACAACAACAAAATATGTATGCTACCTTTCTGCCTAATGAGGGCCACCAGGACGGCTAACAGTTAATGTTACTGTAAAATAATTGCAGCTGAAACTAAAATACACATAAAACCCATGTAGCAAGTAATAAAAAACAAGGCACTACAGAGGTCATGATGAAGGCTAAGCAAAACTGTATGGAACTGAAATGTTCCTGACAAGCACGCATCTATCAATCATCTAAAAATAGAGTATGGTTCTTCCTTCAAAAGTGCTGTTTTGGGGTGTAAATGTATGCAAATTCAGTCAACAAACTGAATTTCACACAACTGAAAGTTTGTCTGATCAGGGAGAAACCTGACACCAGACAAGAGCAAGAACTGTGATGCAGCCGCATTTCACGAACATTCAACTAAGATCTATACATTTTTATAAAGGCAATACTATAGAGAACACCGATCTAGTGCAATACATGAACAATTTATTGCATCGACAACACAAAACCCACACTACCTTGAGGAATAAGCTGTTACCTACCAATAGCACATGTTGGTCCGCTCCATCCCGCTGGACACTGGCATTTGAATCCTGATGAAATCTCATGGCAGGTTCCACCATTAGCACAAGGATTTGATACGCAAGCATGCTCAGCTAATGGAGAAAATACAGTGTTCTTTTAGCAGAGACAACAGCACTTGTGTCTAGGTTTAGCACTATTATTCTGTACACATTCCTTCCTGAGACGCTTTAGGGGGCTTGATGTACGGCGAGTCTACTTGGTAATACCCTGCAGATTCAGCAATGCATCCCTCTGATCTTAGACTCACAGAGTTGGAATCACAGAGTTGGAATCAACTGCCAGGATTCTGGGAGGTACATAAGCCACTGCTCATGTAGTGTGTTAAGAGTTTCATATCAGGACTGGGAAGTCCATGTTTTGTTAGGTCGGGTTAGAACGGATAAAAGGAAGTACTTAGTCACCCAAAGAGTGATTAACACTTGGAATTCACTGCCACAGGAAGTGGTGGCGGCTACAAGCATGGACAGCTTCAAATGGGAATTAGATAAGCATATGGAGCAGAGGTCCATCAGTGGCTATCAGCCACAAGGTATAGATAGGGGCTCTGGGGCAAGTGATGCTCTGTCTTCTTGGTGCTTGGGGGGGGGTCAACAGTGGGAGGGCTTCTAATGTCCTGGCCCCACTGGTGGACCTCCTGATGGCACTGGTATTTCTGGTCACTGGGTGATACAGAGTGTTGGACTGGATGGGCCTTTGGCCTGATCCAACATTGGCATCTCTTATGTTCTTATGCTCTCCATGCTGCGCCATGCTAGCCTGTGGGGTGACCTTGGGCCAGTCATTGGCTGCGGCCACACACACGAAATAATCCACTTTCAACATACTTTCAGTGCACTTTCTAACTGGATTTTACTGTGTGAACTGGCAAGATCCAGTTGGAAAGTACACTCAACGTGCACTGAAAGTGTGTGTGTGACCGCAGCCATCATGTCTAAGCCTCCCTCCCTCACAAAGTTATAAATATCTAAAAAATGAATTCATTCACAACCCGACTCTGCCACGAAGCTCAGCCGGCGACCTTCAGGCCAATCTCTCAGTCAAACCTACCCCCCTACAACTGATGATCAAACAGGAGTGGGGGAAGATCATGATGTCTACTGACCCGAGTTCCTTGACGAAAGGTAGGCTTAATGAACAAAATGACATGATGTCTTGTTGCTTTGCAATGGGGTCCCAAGAAGACAGTAATCTAAATACGAAAATTTAGCTGCCTTTGAGGTAGTCACCAGGGTAGTACTGGCAAAATGCATTAATTCCCCCAGTTGCAAACCACTAAGACTGTGTATAGGAATCACTCCCTGTATAATGGCTAGATGGCCATCTGTCAGCGATGCTGATTGTGTGAACTTAGGCAGATTATGAGAAGGGAGGGCAGGAAGGGTTGCCTCAGTGCTTAGTTCTTGTGGCCCTTTCTTACATGCCCAGGCAAATGCTGATCGCCACTTTGGGGCCAGGAAGCAATTTTTCTCCAGCCCAATTTGGCTGGAGATTCTGGAGGTTTTCTGTCATCTTCTGGGCGTGGAACAGTGGTCACTGGGGGCATGGAGGGGAGGTATTTGTGAATTTCCTGCATTGTGCAGGGGTTGGGCTAGGTGACCCTGGAGGTCCCTTTCAATTCTATAATTCTATAAGGTATTCTGGGAGGCTGGTTTCTCTACAAGCAAACTTACTGAAGGTAAAGAAAATCCTCTTCTCCCCCCCCCTCCGTATCACTAAAGGTGGTGAGATATGAGAATGGTGGGGGCCAATGCTCCCTCTAAGCTGTGAAGTCTTGTGAGCAAAAATTCTACTTTGTGAGCTACTGGCATTAAAGCTGTGAGCAAGCGATTTGGCTGCTGCATAAATTAGTTTGCTCTGGAGCCATCCTTCCTGAGCTAAGACAAAAATGTGTGAGCCGGAGGCTTAAAAACTGTGATCTAGCTCACACTAACTCAGCTTAGAGGGAACACTGGTGGGGGCATCTCTGAAACTGTTAAGGGATGTCCCAAATGTGTAGCTACCATAGCTTCCCATTTTTAAAAAGCAGGGCATACAGTAACTGAGCAGTCCAACAGAAAGAGGTGGCAGTAGTATAAACACAGTAAATAAATAAAATCTCTTAGTACCAATTTCACAGTTCTTTCCAGAGTAACCATCTTGGCAAGCACAGCTGTATTCATCTGGTTCTGTATTCATGCAGGTTCCACCATTCACACATGGATGGTGATTTCCACAATAGTTTAAATCTAGAATAGAAAGAGGGGGGGGAATCATTTGATAAGATAATCATTTGATAAGTCCTTTTCTCCTTTTCTCCCTTTCTCACAATACAAGAACTCCTGGGCACTCCATGAAATTGCTGAGCGGTCGGGTTAGAACGGATAAAAGGAAGTCCTTCTTCACCCAAAGAGTGATTAACACTTGGAATTCACTGCCACAGGAAGTGGTGGCGGCTACAAGCATGGACGGCTTCAAAAGGGAATTAGATAAGCATATGGAGCAGAGGTCCATCAGTGGCTATTAGCCACAAGGTATAGATAGGGTGCAGCGTAGGGGCAATATAACTACGTTAATTGTTTCTTCCCACTGTGCTATGGCTCTTTGGGGTTGTTTTTTTTAACCCATCGCATAGCAACCAGTGCTTTTGCATTGTCATCTTTCAAACTCAAAGATTTCGCCTGCTGCCTTTAAGTAGGAATGTGGCACAAGGAAGTCAAGAAAACAGATGCTGTGTTAGTAGTAAACACACAGTTGCATAAACAACCGCTTCTCTGTGACGGGTTAGTAATGAGGTTTCAGGTATGCTATGAATGAGAGTTCAGTACCTTTGTTGCACAGCAGCCCACCCCAGTTGGTTTCGCATTTGCACTCCCAGGGGTCACTGCAGCTCCCGTGGGCACAGCCTGGGTAGGGGACACACTCGTCACAGAACTGTCCTTGCCAGCCATAATTACACCTATGGGTAAGTGCATGTTAAGTGTTAGCAATAGGAGGGCCAATTATACATAGCAGACATACTCAGGGCATCACATCTATTTATCGGTCAGCGCGGAAGAACGCCGGAGCTCCCCCTTTTCAAGATCTGCACATCGCTATGTGCTAGCCACATTCTGCAAAAGATTCACAACGAAACTGCTATTTCTCAAGGGAATAACGACCCTGATGGAGACAAAAACATTCACTTCCGTAACCATGAGAATACAAGAAACAGATACATTGGAAATCGGAATATAAATTTTTTTAACTTGCATTAAAAAACCCCAACTTCACTGGTGCATCATGGTGCTGTAGGGTTCCTGACAGGCCTGGAAATGCCCTGCCTCTTTCATAAAGGCACCGTGCGTGGAAATGGGCAGTTGAAACATTTCATGGCACAGAGATATTTTATCACCTGCTAAACAACATCCTATAAGGGGCTGCAGTGGCTCAAGTGGTTAAGATGCTGAACTGCAGACCAGAAGGTCGGTAGTTCAGCAGTTCGAGACCCAAGTGTGCTGCATGATGGAGTGAGCTCCCGTCTCTAGTTCCAGCTCCTGCCAACCTAGCAGTTCGAAAGCAAGAAATTGCAAGTAGATAAATAGGTACCACTTCAGTGGGAAGGTAACAGAGTTCTGTGCGCCTCGGTGTTTAGTCATGCCGGCCACATGACCACGGAAATGTCTTTGGACAGCGCTGGCTCTTTGGCTTGGAAACGGAGATGAGCACCGCATCCCTAGAGCCAGATTCGACTGGTTTTCGAGCAAGGGAAACCTTTACCTTAAACAACATCCTGCTGAGTCTCAATTAAAGATTGGACATTTATTTCATGAGAATTGCTGGCAATCCTGCAGTAAGTGACTTGGAAGCGCCTGGGTCATTTATTTTAGAACAGACTCCCTCAGGAGGTGGAGGGCTGTCTTTAAGCAGAGGGTGAACAGCCACCTGTTGGGAAAGGGCAGTTTTGCATTCCTACACTCCACGGGCATTTAGACTACATGATCTCTAAGGTTCTTTCCAAGAGCCTAACTCGATGTTACAGCATTCTCACGTCCATCATAGGGCCATGGAGCTATCTGAAGGCTGGGATTTTCTTATTTCAAAAAGGCTGCAGGGGGTCTGATCCTGAAAGCCAACCTGATGAAGCCTTGGCTAGGCAGAGACCCAGGCAGTCTTTACCTGGCTGAAGAGGCTTGAAAATACCTGGGGGGGGGCCCGCAGCGGAAGAGATGGGAACTCTGGAAACAGCAGAGGGCAGAATTGGTGCTTCCCAAATGATCTCCACTCCCATCCCCACCCTGGCTGCTCCCTTATTGCCTAACAAGCATCACCTCTTCTCCTCTGCTGCGACTAGGACTTCTGTCTCTCTCTCCCCATGTGCCATTTTCACGTCTCCTTGAGGAGACCCACCTGGGTCTTCAATCAGCTGTGGCCTCATCAGGGATGGCTTTCAGGATCAGCTCCCCCCCCACCCCCCAATGGCATTTTTGACGACAAAAATCCTTGCTTTAAACTATTGCCAGAACTTCCCTGTGGTGGACATGGGGGTACCATAACGTCTAGTTAGGCTCCACGTCTTTATGACTATGAAATTCAGAAGATGAATGGAACATTGAAAGCCACCCGGGATGAGTCGTAGGAGAATCACAGTTCATTGGAGGGGGGGGGGGATTCCCATTTGAGAAGGAGGGATTATTACCAAGAATTTCTCTGCCAACACCAAAGCTATTAACTCGGCAGAACAAAGCAGGTTACAGAGCTTTTAAAACGGAACCCATTTACATTTTTTTTACCTACATGCAAAATTATCCACCTATGCACACAGCACTTGCTTACAGCCCAACGGCTAAATTTCTCCAGAAATGGAACACAAACGTCACATAATACCTGTGCGTTACTTGGGCTGGCCTTCATTTTTAAAAAAGTATCGTATTATGTGGCTTTTGTTTTTGGATTCTGCTACCTGCAGACTCTGTCCAGGAACCAGGTAAACAAATAAGCATGTGACGTCTCCAAAGCTTAGAAATTCCACTCGATCCCATGCAGGCTGTAAAGATAGTGCAGTGCAAGCTCAACTATCGAGGTGTTTCAAGGGACAGAGGGTTCATTTGGATAATTAGAGTATGGGTAAACAGAGGTTGCTAGGTGCTTGCAGAAGACAAAAGCGCTCTGGCTGTATTAACTTCACCTGTGGTTTGACTATTCACCTAGGACAGTTGCTGATACTACAGAATTTCCTTCTAACTAGAAAGGGCAGTAGAAAGAGGGACGCAGAAAGGTTTTCATGTGTCTGAAAACAGGCAGTAAAAAAGTTCAGCATCTCCAGAAGTGCTACTTCCCGGAGAGACTGCAGAATGAGAAGACTGAAGTCACCAGCTCCAACTCAGCAGGGCTTGCTTCTCGATAAGAATTCACAGGCTTATAGATTTTATTTGCTGGTGTTTGAATAGCCCTATCCAAACATTCCATCACTGTATGAAGGATGTGAACAGGTTTGTACTAGCCAGCCCCACAACCCCATGGTACAGAGGCAGTGGATTTAGCACACATGTGGGGGTCTACCCACGCAGAGATCAACACACCCTTCTTCTGCACAACCTGTACTATTAGGTGTTTGTGACAATTAGATCACATTTGTACATGGTCCTGCATGTGTGAATGCTGGAAACAAAGTTCAAAGCACAAATGTTCACCGGGGAGTGGGGGAGTGGGGAGAAGAATACAAAATCAAGAACTAATGTCTTCAGAAAGTCCTGCCTTCAGTACTGAGAAACTCAGACAGAATCAAATTGCCACGATAAACTTTATAGCCATTGCTACAATCAGAGGGGTGGCGTGGCCGTGTGACTTACAGGGAAATTTCCCGATGGGCTGCTCCTCTAGTGAGCCCCTGGTGGCAAGAAGCAGCAGAGCCAAGCTGCAGCAACATTACCAGTACTCCGTAGGCCAGTTAGCTCGACCCTTCAGTGGCAACTCTCATGGACATCAGTTCACCAATGATGGATATCCACCAATCACCTCCCTCTACACTGCCCCTAGTTTACAGGAGGTCAGGAATGAGCCAATGCCCATTTTTGGCACCGAGTTCTGCAGCCTTGCATCACTAGCTTTTTGTGCAACGGGAGCCATTCAAAATGGCCTATATCAAGCCAAGCTAACTTCCCAGTCCACCCCTGGCTAAAATGCTTTAAACAAACTGCAAGTGGTCAAATGGTTGTTCCCACAAATGATCCCCAAATGGCCACCTGAGCCAATCAAGATTGTGTTCTGCGGAACACAGACGGAACTATAGATGAATTGCTTAGATATATATTAACTGCAGCAAGAGTAGTAATTGAAGCAAAATGGAAAATCAAAGATTGTCCAGCTCTTGAGAATTGGATAGATAAAATGCAAGAATATGCTGTTAATGGCAAAACTGACAAACTTCATTAATCAGAGACTGAAAGACAACTTTGAAGACAACTGGAGAGTTTTCTATGATTACTACAACCAATATCTGTAGTCGTGCAGTTGAATGGTTTACACCATATGACGGTTTCAGTATGAAATATTAAAGATGCTTTCTTTCGTATGATTCTTATGACAACAAACTTATTTTAAAATTATACACAAATTTGTATGAGGTTATTAATGGTTTATCATATAACTGAAGACTGATAATATATTAATATTTTTATCCTATCATGAGAAAATGGTAGAATGTTGAGTAGATTGTTATAGTGGTTTTTAAAGTTATAAGGTTATATAATTTTCCTAAAAATTCAAGTATTTGAATCAAGGATTGTCCTTTATATTTGTCAAAAATGCCCTTTAGACTATGTTTTGGTAATTTTACTTTATTCTTTTCCTTTATCCCTTTTCTTTATTCTGTATTCCGTCAAAAAGTTCAAAATAAGTTTTTTTAAAGAGATTGTGTTCTGCTGCCTGAGAGGGTGAGAGCACTGATACAGCTTGCCCAATTGGACCATTCATACACATCTTCCCTGGCACTAAGGCAGTTCCCTGCTGTGCTGTTTCTACATGGGTTCATTGGATTTCCTTTTTTCGACAAATTCGCTGAGTGCTAGTAAACAATGGCATACCCAAGTCTGTGGCAAGTGGCCATTTGCCTGGATAAAAGGAAGTACTTCTTCACCCAAAGAGTGATTAACACATGGAATTCACTGCCACAGGAGGTGGAAGCGGCTACAAGCATGGACGGCTTCAAAAGGGAATCGGATAAACATTCGAAGCAGAGGTCCATCACAGAGGTCCATCACAGCCACAAGTTATAGATAGGAACTCTCGGTCTGGGGCAAGTGATGCCCTGTATTCTTGGGGAGGCACTGTATTGCTTGGGGGAGGCACCAGTGGGAGGGCTTCTAGTGTCCTGGCCCCACTACTGGACCTCCTGATGGCACCTGGTATTTTTGGCCACTGTGTGACAGAGTGTTGGACTGGATGCGCCATTGGCCTGATCCAACATTCTCTTCACTTATGTTCTTATGGATCAGGATTCTGAGTGGTGGCAGGTTCAAAAGTGCCTTCAAAGAGTTCAGTGCTACCCTTCCCCTGTCGTATGCCTATGTGGTGTGTCAGACATATGTAAGCAACTAACTGGCCCCCCCCACCTTTTTGAGCTCACAGGCACCTTTAGAATTTTGACACAGCGTGGTGGGTGCAGCCACAGAATGGCTGCCACAGGAGGTGGGGACACCCACAAAATGGCTGCCGCGGCTTACTTTCAGTCACACAGTGAAGATCCTTGTGCTCGGTGGCAGCTGCTGCCAAACCAATTTAAAAAAAAAATTTGTACAGCCAATGAAGTTTCCAGTGGCCAACCAGGAGCCTCGCTGGGCAGAATCCTGCCTGCTCTCTCCACTTTTTAGAAACACTTGGCAGGTGCCAAGAAAAGTGCTGATGGGCACTGTGCCACCCACAGGCACCATGTTCCCCCCCCCCCGGATCCAAATGATTGCTGAACGGTATGAAACATAA